CTAGACTGAAGAACAAAAGGACAGCAACTTGTCTGTTCCCCGTCCTCCAATTCCCCAGCGCTGTGCCCATCCCAATTCCCAAATAAAAATCTTTAAAAAAAAAAAAAAAAAGATAAAAATAAGAGAACCCAAAACAATGACCTAAATAAAAGTTACATGACAAGTTATTTCACATGTGCTAGAGGGACAATATTTAATGGAAACTTTCTATATCTGAAAGGACCATCTTATATAACACTTCTCTATTACCAGACCATAACAAAAGATGGGGGAAAGATTGTTTTTATGACTCTAAATTAATTCATTTAAAAAAATGATCCACTCATTTCTTAGGTTGATTTTTCACCAAATAGTTTTTTTTCAATGACATTAGAAACTCACAACCTAAAACGGAAATATAATTTTCCCTTAAAAAAAACAAAACAATTCGTGATGTTATAAAGTAGGGATAAAGTTAGCATCTAAATTATTTAATAATTCCAAGTGACCTGGGAGAGAAAAATTTTTTCCCCAGTTAAGAGAAGCTTCTCAAGGTCATATAAGAGCACATAACATAAAACTAAGTTGTTGGTCTCAGGTTTTAGGCCCAAGACATTAACTGAATATAACACATACTTAAACTATGAAAAAGTCACAATGGGCAGGTTTTCATGGTGTTACAATTCTACCTTTAAAAATTAAAATGTAAAATTAAAGTGGCAATGCCAATATTTGAATTAGCAACTCCATTTTTGGTTGCTTACTTCCCCAATGTTGAATTCACAACCTAATCTATACTGAAAGGGGTGGGGGAAACAGCATATGGCTTCTTGATTTGTTCTAAAAGACACTTCAAAATTAAGTATCACCCTATTTTCAGAAATGCATACACACTAAAATATGTCCATCCCAAGAGCTTTATCAAGAATAAATACTAGGCTCTTTAGAGCCATACTTTTTCTTTAAGGCATGAAATTCTATCTAACTGTAATGTTTAAAAAAGTTTTCTCATACCTATTTATAAATTCAATATAGAGAAGCAATTGAATATATTCCTCTTGTTCCTTAACCTAAACACAAATATTTTTTTAGCAACTGTCTTGTGATGTATGGATTTAAGATTTTTAAAAACATCAAATTAAATCCAGTGTTCAAAAGCAAGGGGAACATAGCTCACAACAGAACTTTAATGAACTACTTGAACGCTCCGTCGGGTGCTACTGATTTCACAGATTGTTTTGAATTTCTGTTGATTTTTTTACTGAATTTATGTAATAAACATATTGTTTTTACTTTGTGGCAAATTAAAATTTCATTCTGAATAAATAATAAGCATGCTTACATGTTATTTTCTTTCATTTTCAATTTAAATAAATAAATGTTGTATACATATCTAGTAGATGCATTGCGCCTGAACTTGTAACTTTTGAATTGCACCCGACAGAGGGTTAATTCAAAGTAGGTGAGGGCCTTATCATGGAGCTAGTATTAAAATTTCATAAAAAAAAGTATTTTGATGTTATCTAGATAACCAGGTTGTATTTAAGATTATACATAGTATAAAGAAATTCTCATGGGCTGGCCGAGTGGCTTGTTGGTTAAGAGTTGGCTTAGGAGCGTGAGCTCTGAGCAGCAGGGCCGCCGGTTTGGATCCTACATGAGCCAGTGACGCTGCGCCCTCTACAGCTAAGATGGTGAACAACATCTCGACCTGGAGCTGGGCTGCTGTGTGTCGCCAGCGACCACATAGGCTGCAGTGGGCTGCTGTAAACTACCAAGAGCGGCCGGCAGCCAGTGTGATTAGCCGGCAGCTGCCGTGAGCTGCTGTGAGCCACCGTGAGCGGCCATCCAATGGCTAGCGATGACTGCCTCAGCGGGGAAGAGTGCAATGATCACAATACCAACATGGGCCAGTGAAGTGACGTCCTCCACAACTAGATTGAAGAACAAAAGGACAGCAACTTGTCTGTTCCCCTCCCCCAATTCTCCAATAAAATTAAAAAAAAAATTTTCATTGTCTCCTAGACATATTGATTAGATGATTTCATTAAATATCCTATCATGCATGTTAAGTTTAAATACGTAGCATTAATATCTCCTAATGTACACGTTTTAATGAATTTCCATTATACATATCAAATTAATACAAAAAAATTTAGAGTGAGCTTGTTTTGACACATCTCAAGTACTGTAAACAATTTTTTATGTCTTATTTGGACAGGTGTATAGTTTTATTGCCTCAAAACAGGGATAACTATGTTAACCAGACATTCAAGTAAGACGAATTTAAGTGCCTGTTATCAGAAATGTGTTTTTCAATCCCTTAGTATTCTATGTGTACCGCATTTGCTTTAGTCATGACCACTAGTCTCTAACATACTCACTGCTTTCAAGTTCAAGTGATGCTTAATTATTTCTTAAACTGTAATTTACCCTTGCCCTAACATCAAATACTTTTTCCATTGTCATTTGACTATGGCTGATCTAAAATCTGCTAAGGAGTTCCCAGGGGTTATTGGGTTACCAGTTTCAACTGACCCCTGGAAACACTGAATGACTGACTGCTTTGGTAGCTTTATCTTAATAATATTCAGATCTAGGTAAATTTGAGAAGACAGAATAAAAACCCTCAAGAAGGCTAGTTAGGAGTTTTACAAATTACTTTTCAAAATAATAGAAAATGAAGTATCTACATAGATTGATGTTAGTGTTGGAGCCATTTCTCAGAGGCCAGTCCACAGGATCAAAGAGACTACCACTAGTCATTTTTCTGATACTTGAGAAACTAATGTCTTCTAACGTTAAGGTCTAAATTAAGTCATACTAATACCAAATTGCACTTACAGAAAGATTCCATTACATTCTGAAGTTAGAGCAAGGGATAAACACTTTCAACAAATGAAGGACTAATAAAAGTTTAATAGAATTGGTATTATCTTGGTAAAAAATAATGCTAAACGCCACTCTGGGCTACTATTGACCTGTTCTGTTAGTACCAAGGTAGTTTGTCTAATATTTACGTGATACTATCTGTAGTAGGTGAAACACCCTTAAGTGCCTCCTCGCTGAAAACTTTCCACCAGCTTGGCACCAGCACTGAAAAACCCAAGTTATCTTCAGCTTTTCAATGTAAAGAGCGATTACCTTTAAACATTTTTTAGTTTATTTTGAAGCAAATTTCACAATTGCCTTTTTATCTTCATCTTGCCACCCAAATAAAACTTGCTAAAAAGAAAAAAAAGTATTATATGTACCTAAGAGACAGCTTTTGTGTGAGAAGGTCATTACCAAAGCCCATTATTTTTGTATTTGTTCTCTAGTTTTTATATTATTTCAAAAATTAATCTCTGCGTAGTAAAGAAGGGCCCACTACTAAAAAAATATATAACATGTGTGCAATATTATCTTATGAACAACATGAAGCAAATCTACACCACTTAGGAAGAGATATCAAAATGTCTATGTGGGGTGAAAACATTAGGCTAACTATGCATTTTTTTCCAATCAGCTTTACAAAATTTCTCCCAAGTTCCCCTTAAAGAGAAAAAAATCAGAACTAAGCAGGAGTGTAATTCCACTAAAAAATAAACATGAAACCCCTTCTTCCAACAATGGATTTTAAAGATTAGACCAAGGATAGTTGGCTTCCAGAAGGTTGCAATATTCCTATCTCTAACAATCTCAAATCAGATATATAAGAAAATGCACAAGTTGTATATTAACAAAATACAGGATTATCTTGCAGTCTGCCTTTTAAAAAAAGAAATCTATTATAGTGATTTAAGGCAGGTATTACAACAAAACCATTATGATTCTTAAATCAGAAAAAAAACAACCCACTATATTATCTTCTCCTATCCCCACCCCACCCCCAAGAACTTACATCTGCTGGAAACATATCTATATTCTCTTCTCCTATCCCCACCCCACCCCCAAGAACTTACATCTGCTGGAAACATATCCTTATGAAATTTGCCTTAAGCTCAGAAGTTGAGCTGTTTTACTAGAAAATTAAAACAAGCTTGACTAAATTTGGGCTCTAAATATTAAGTGGCTTTAAAGTCTGCCTACTGACTCTTGTTTTAGGCACCTGTCACAGAAAACTTTTCATACTACTTTGGGCTATTATCAGAAGATAATAGCTGCCCCAGCTTTTGTTCAGAGAAAGAATCATTTTACACTGAACTCCAGAATATAGCTTGTATTTTGTTGGAATATTCAGGTAGATTTTCACTTGAACGCTTAAGCCAAGCCTTAGGAGTTTGGGTACACTGGAAGACCCCAGTCTGGTTTCTGTATTAAAATTGGGGGTGGGGGGTGGGTTATCCAGATCTTTTCCCCTTCAGTTGTTGGTAATTCAAAGCAGGAACCTCATCTGAGAATTAGACAAGACTGAGTTAGATAAATTTCACCTCATATTAATATCTTACTTAAAGATCAACATGGGTAAAACAGTATCAAGGGAAAATTGAAAACTCCAAGACAGTAATTTTGAGATCAATTTCAGCTTTACTTCAAATTTCTATTTATGCAATTGTCTGCAAAAAGAATGCCTGTCCTTGACTTTACTGCAATGTTCACTTTTGTCTTAAAGTAGTACATAAAAATAAACAATTCAAGCTTCTATATATTTTATTACTAAGCTTCCACAGAACATGTGTGCAAACTTCAGGTTTCCCATCTCAAACTAAGCTAACCAAAAATGCTCAAGTCAGCAAATACGCAAAATACATTAAAGAGAAACCTCAAATGTTTTTAAAATCAAACTTTAGAACTAACCTTTAAACTAAGTTGTTGCATCTTTCCTTTCTTATGCATACACCGGACTAAAGACTTCAAACAATAGATCTCGTACTTGGCACAAGGGCATTTCAAAGAAACAAAAATAAAAGGAAAAAAAATAGAGAAAGGAAAAGAGGTTTACTCAGACTTCAGTGAAAGCTTAGTCCACTTCCTCGATGGTGGGTCCCCCGGAGGCTCCGGACGCGCCGCTGCCAGGGCCGCCTTGGTAAAGCTTGCTGATGATGGGGTTGCACACTCTTTCCAGCTCTTTCTGCTTGTGTTCATACTCATCTTTCTCTGCCATCTGGTTTCGGTCGAGCCAGCTGATCACCTCCTGGCACTTGTCGAGGATCTTGTTTTTGTCCTGCTCGCTAATCTTGCCCCTCAGTTTCTCGTCTTCCACCGTCTGCTTAATGTTGTAGGTATAGGACTCCACGGCATTTTTGGCGGCGACCCGGTCGCGATTGGCTTCATCTTCCGATTTGTACCGTTCCGCCTCCTGCACCATCCGGTCAATGTCGTCCTTGCTCAGACGACCCTTGTCGTTGGTGATGGTGATTTTGTTTTCTTTACCGGTGCTCTTGTCGGCGGCGGTGACATTGAGGATGCCGTTGGCGTCGATGTCGAAGGTGACTTCGATCTGGGGGACACCGCGGGGCGCCGGGGGAATCCCGGTCAGGTCGAACTTGCCGAGCAGGTTATTGTCCTTGGTCATGGCCCGTTCGCCCTCGTACACCTGCACCAGCACGCTGCTCTGGTTATCGGAGTAGGTGGTGAAGGTCTGCGTCTGCTTGGTGGGGATCGTGGTGTTCCTCTTGATGAGTGGGGTCATGACGCCGCCAGCCGTCTCGATGCCCAGGGACAACGGGGTCACGTCGAGTAGCAGCAGGTCCTGCACGTTCTCTGACTTGTCCCCGATAAGGATGGCCGCCTGCACCGCGGCTCCGTAGGCCACCGCCTCGTCGGGGTTGATGCTCTTGTTCAGCTCCTTGCCGTTGAAGAAATCCTGCAGCAGCTTCTGGATCTTGGGGATGCGGGTGGAGCCGCCCACCAGCACGATCTCCTGGATCTGGCCCTTGTCCAGCTTGGCGTCGCGCAGCGCCTTCTCTACCGGCTCCAGGGTCCCGCGGAACAGGTCGGCGTTGAGCTCCTCGAAGCGGGCGCGGGTGATGGACGTGTAGAAGTCCACACCCTCGTAGAGCGAATCGATCTCGATGCTGGCCTGCGTGGACGAGCTCAGGGTGCGCTTGGCGCGCTCGCAGGCGGTACGAAGCCGCCGCACCGCGCGCTTGTTGGGCCCAATGTCCTTCTTGTGCTTGCGCTTGAACTCCTCCGCCAGGTGGCTCACCATGCGGTTGTCGAAGTCCTCGCCGCCCAGGTGGGTGTCGCCCGCCGTGGACTTCACCTCGAAGATGCCATCCTCGATGGTCAGGATGGACACGTCGAAGGTGCCGCCGCCCAGGTCAAAGATAAGCACGTTCTTCTCCCCGCCCGCGCAGCCCTTCTTGTCCAGGCCATAGGCGATGGCCGCCGCGGTGGGCTCGTTGATGATGCGCAGCACATTGAGGCCCGTGATGGTGCCCGCGTCCTTGGTGGCCTGACGCTGCGAGTCGTTGAAATACGCCGGTACGGTGATGACCGCGCTCTGCACCTTGCCCCCCAGGTAGGCTTCGGCGATCTCCTTCATCTTAGTGAGGACCATGGAGGAGATCTCCTCCGGGAAGAAGGTCTTCATCTCTCCCTTGTACTCCACCTGCACTTTGGGCTTCCCTCCCTCGCTCACCACCCGGAACGGCCAGTGCTTCATGTCCGACTGCACTGTGGAGTCCTCGAACTTCCGTCCGATCAGCCTCTTGGCGTCGAAGATGGTGTTGGTAGGGTTCATGGCCACCTGGTTCTTGGCGGCGTCGCCGATGAGGCGTTCGGTGTCGGTGAAGGCCACGTAGCTGGGGGTGGTGCGGTTGCCCTGGTCGTTGGCGATAATCTCCACCTTGCCATGTTGGAAGACCCCCACGCACGAGTAGGTGGTGCCCAGGTCGATGCCGATAGCCGGGCCGCGGGCAGACATGCTGACTGAAAGACTGGCAAGCGACGTTAGGAGACAACACCAGGGGCAGAAAAATCCGCGGCGTCAACTAACGGTCGACTCGCACCGGACACCGCGAGCGCAGCCAGAATCTCCCGCCCCTCTTGCTCAGCTCCCGGCTCTTATAGCCGCCGCCTTGTGGAAAACCTCAGAGCCAATCCGCTCCCAGGACCGCCCGCCAAGGCTTGACTGAGTGGGAGTGACCCGTCGGTGGCCCAACAGATTTCAAGTCGAGTGAAGGGCGGGACCCCGACCCGCGTAAGGAGGCAAGGGGCGGCCGTTATGCAAATGACGTCCCTCCCACGTACCCCTTGCTGCCTGGGTTCGCTGAGCCTCACGCATCACCGGCAGCGGGGGGGCGTTAGGCTCGCGCACGCCCCCCTCACCCCTGCCAGGTGTATACGCATTTTCGTAATCTTTGCCTTCCCTAAGGCGGGATTCGTCGACGCCCATTGGATTGGCAGGGCAGGCAGCCAATGAGCAGCGCGGATTCCTAAGTGGGGTGGGGAAGGAAAGGCTGGGGCGTGGCTCGAGGAGGAGGAGGCGTGGCAGAGGAGCGTGGAGAGGGGAGCCACCTGGGCTGTCGGCTCTGTTCCTAGGCCTTAAGTGTAGTTAGGTGTCAGATGTACCAACTAACCTAGCACGCAGGGTCAGGGCAATTCATTGAGTAGGTTGCACCGAGGAAATAGGGCCAAAGCCTGTGTTTTTTTAAACGTTGGCGTGGCCTCAGCAATGAGAGCGGTTCCCCCGAGGCGGGGCCAAAAAGAAATGACACTGAAGTTCCTGGGTCGGGCTGTCGGCCTTCTGGAATTTTACATTGCGTGTTTCGCAGCGTCTCAGTGGGTGGGAACGCATGATATAAACTGCCTGGCGGGTGGAGACAAGAGTAGGAGCCCGGGAGAGCGCCGGGAGATGCTGACCTTTTTTTCCGCACCGCGCGCAGGAAGCCTGCGGCTTGGGAGAACGGAATGACTGCAGCTCCCCTTGCCAGCGTTTCAACTTTCTCTACCTCGCTTTCCATTTTTCCTGCTTGTCCTGCCACTTTAAGCTTCCTGATTTCGTCTCCCTATTCTCTCCACTGCTTTCCTTATTTTTTGGTTTCAAGTGTTTTATCCGCTGCTTTGAGTTCTTTCTTCACGGGAAAATCTATAATCAAACCCCTCACCTTGAAGCACTATAGAGTAATCAAGTCTCACGCCCACCCGGATTCTCTCATCCCCAGCATACGCACGCGCGGTCGTGTTTATGACCGAGTCGTGTTTATGACTGAGCTCAACTGCGATTATTTTCTTTAGCTATGGTGAGTTATATTAGAGGCATAAACCCTCAGAGAAGATAGGTAAAGAAGCGCAATTCATTTCATCATGTGTCAGAATGTGAGAATAGGTTCGGAAGTACTGTCCGGAGCCAGGTGATGGGGTAGAAACAGACTCCTATAAATGGGCTCCTGAAGGAAAACAATAACAAAATCGCTGGGCTAACCCGTCACATTATCAGGGGGAAACTGTAGACATCTATTCAACAAGTTTTAAAGGGTACCTACTATGTGAGAGTAAACAGACAAATGAGATAGTCTGTCTTTATGAGGCTGAGAGTCTGGAGGGGCACATCCAGAGAGGAAAAAGTGTATTGGTGAGGGCTTCCTGGAAGAGATGACATGCCAGAGTGGTGCTGAAGTTTGCCAGCACAGAGGGGAGGAGAGGCATGGCTTGTAGTAGCACCGCAGAGGAGATCAGTGTGTGCTGGGGCGACTACATGTTCTGTACAGAAGATTAGTGTCACTACAAGGGGAGGGATACAAGCAAGGAATAGTCTCTATAAGGTGGATGGGATACATTTAAGAGCTTTACATGCCATGATTTTGCTTTCCTGAGGCTATGGGAATGGGAAAACATCCTTTGAAGGAGGCTAGTAATGGATATCCCTAGTCAAAGTTGTGTGAGACCATGCTGGAGAAAAGTTTTTGTCTGAGAAACATGTAAGTAATCTGTGGCCAAAAGGTAATGTTGACAGAACCCTACAAAGTCAATCAATAAACATTTAAATTTCTTTTATCTAGTGTAAAACAACAATAAAATTGTGTGTGTGTGATTTCCAATCTTTAAAAACACATTTAGTTAATTTGCTAATCTATTAAGTAGTACTGGCTTTAACCACAGTTCCCAACATCTTTTCCATGAAAAAAATTAAAGAAAAAAATTGAACTATGACATCTTTCAAACAAAATATTAGGAAAACAAAGATAAAACCAAAAGGTTTCTATTGAAGCTGCTTAAATTGTGAGTACATGTCTCTTGATTTTTTTTATTCTTGCAAACTGTTGTCTTTTATGTAGTTTTTTTTTTTTAAAGGTAATTAGTGGGCTGGAGAGCAATCCAAATTCTTTGTAAAACTGATGATATAATGTGATTTAGAGACAGGGTCCCAGCTATAACTGAAAGCAGAAAAGAACTGTAAGAAAGAAAAACTCTTCAGATCTCTTGTATTCAAACAGCTCTCACACACCCAACCTCAAGCAAGGCAAGATTGCAAAAAAGCAAACATGCCAGTTCTTACACACAAACAGTAAAATTAGAGCTTATGAAGGGAGAGGTTCTTAGTAACAATGTACTATCTCTATGCAGTTAGTACAAACAAATCTTGCAATCTAAACACCACGTTCATCTTTAACAAAGCTTTATGAAGCCACAATAGCAATTTTTCTGCATTTTATTAGCTATATATATTTTTTCTGCTTTAACCTTTCACCTGGTAAATTGATGTTTCATGTTTCATGCTTTAGATGGCATCCTAAGCTTTTCCAAAAAGACACAGTATTTGCATTTCGATTTTATATGAAATAAATTTCTGCAATTCTAGAACAGTACCATACACTGAGCATTCTTGGAATTTTTACATTGTTTCTTATTTGTATTGATTTTTCTTTAAATTTTTGTCTTTTCTCTTTGATGATTGTGGCTCAATTTCATTAAAAACAGGGCCTATTAAAAATGATCAATTAGCACATTTATGATCAAATAATAATCATCGATGACAGCAATGGTGCAGCAAAACAGGTAAACTCTACTGGTGGGAATGTAAAATAGAGCAATCTTTCTGGAGGGCAATGTGACAATATTTTTTCTTTACCTTAAATATTATCATACCCTTCATTTAGCATTACCCTATGGAATTCATCCTAAGGAAATAATGGAACATGCAGGTAGTATTATTTATGACAACATTAAAAAAAGTGGCTTAAATAACTGATGATAAGTAAATGATTATATCAATTATAGTACATCCATATGATGAATTATTGTTAGCCATAAAAATTGTTTATGGGCCAGCTGAGTGGCTTGTTGGTTAAGAGTTGGCTTGGGAGCCTGAGCTCTAAGCTACAGGGCCGCCTGTTCGGATTCCACATGGGCCAGTGACGCTGTGCCCTCTACAGCTAAGATGGTGAACAACAGCTCAACCTGGACCTAGGCTGCCATGAGTCGCTGGTGACGGCGTAGGCTGCAGTGGGGCTGCAGTGGGCTGCCGTAAGCTACTGTGAGTGGCCAGCAGCCAGCGTGAGCAGCCGGCAGCCAGTGTGAGCTGACATGAGTGGCCATCCAAAGGCCGACGACTGACTGCCTCAGCCAGGAAGAGTGCAATGATCACAATGCCAACTTGGGCCAGTAAAGTGACGTTCTCCACAACTAGACTGAAGAAGAAAAGGACAGCTTGTCTGTTTCCCTTCCTTGATTCTCCAATAAAATCTTTTTTAAAAAAATTGTTTACAAGAATTTTATTGACACAGAAAACCGTTATTGATATAATTAAGTGGAAAAATAATTACAAGACTTTTGCATCTTTTATATGTACAATAATCTTATGTATATGAAAAATGCATCAGAATTGGTTATCTCTACATGATAGGATTACTAGTAATTTTTCTAAATTTCCTCATTATGCTTTTACAATTGATATTTACTTATTTAAGATTTTATTGGGGAATTGGGGAAGGGGAACAGTGTTGGGGAATTGGGGAAGGGGAACAGCCAAGTTGTTGTCCTTCAGTCTTAGTTGTGGAGGGCGCAATTAGCTCAGCTCCAAGTCCAGTCACCATCCGACCGACCCTCGGCAGCTCAGCTCAAGGTGCCATGTTCAATCTTAGTTGAGGGTGGGCGTAGCCCACCATCCCATGCAGGAGTTGAACCAGCAACCTTGTTGTTAGGAACACATGCTCTCACCAGCGGAGCCATCCTGCCACCTGTTGGCAGCTCAGCAGCAGCTCAGCTCAGGCGCAGCTCACTGGCCCATGTGGAAATCAAACCGGTGACCCTATTGTTCAGAGATCACGCTCTTAACCAACTGAGCCACTCGGCCAGCCCTACAATTGATTTTTTTTTTTTTTTTTTAGCTGAGCCATCCTGCTACCTGTTGGCAGCTCAGCGGCTGCTCAGCTCGGGCTGGACTCGAACCGCTGTTGCTCAGAGCTCAAACTCTTGAGCGAGCTCTTAACCAACTGAGCCACTTGGCAGGCCTTACAATTGATTTTTAAAACTGGACTATTAACATTCAATGGAAACACAGTTTGCTAATCCTACTGTGTACATAGAAATCACTACTGATTTTCAACAAATGAAATCTGTTTGGCAGGTTATAAATACTAGATGTTTCAAAATATTTTTAAAATCCAAAGACTGAGGTTACACCTAGTCTGGAAAAAATAGGAGCTTTAACATATGTCAAACCCTCTCTAATTAATCCCCAACACCCAGAAGAGCACCTGGAACACAGTAGTGATTCACTAGCTCAATGTTTATTAAAAGTGACCTGAGGCACATTCTTTAACCAAAAAACTGGAATAACTTCATTTTTGTTTTCTTGTATAAGAGGAAGTTTCTCTACCCACCTCTTATATTTTGGTACTAAATAATGCTGCAGAGATCAAAAGTTGAAACAAATTCTCATTGAAAAATGTTTGTACTAGAGATACAAAGATGAATAAAGGTCTAAAACTATGTGCGTGGGTACTGAGGCCTGCCCTAAGGATACTGAGAGGAACAAACTTTTCCAGAATTACTAGGCAAAAAAAATTTATGGCTTTTCTGGAACTCTCTCAATCCCTACCCAGGCACAACCTTCATAAAGTTTGTGGATTGTTTTGAGGAGGTAATCCTGGCCTGGAGAGAAGGTGGGGTAAGTAGCAGCCTATAATTTGATGAGCAAACTGGAGTCAAACTGTAATAGTTATTATATTTAAGATCTCTGTAAATATTACCATTTTATAACTCTTTGGACACACCCTTTCCCAAAATATTTCTCCAATCACCTGTTACTATCGGAAAATGTTCACCATCTGTTCTTTGTCTTGGAAAACTGTCTTTAAAAGTTAGTTAAATTGTAGATACACAGTAGCCTGCTGTAGGACACTACCATGCCTGGAATGGAAGGCTATAAGACCCAAACCCGGAAGAGAGGCTTTTTCAGAAGAGAAATAAATCCGTGACAATAGCAGACAAATAGTGCCTTCTTCAGTTTAGTAGAGTGCTAATTTGGAGGATAGATTCTTGTGGAATAGTCTGAAATAATCTAAAAGAAGTGAGACTGTTGTCTTCTACATGGAGAATCAGACTCAATATGCCATTATCGTTGACACTTATTTAAATTAAATTAAGTGAAATGATGGCAAATATCTTCAGGACTGACCTGAAATGAAAGAATACAAGGTCTGACAATTAAGTTCTTGAACTTGCTGCAACGATGTTGTCAACCTTTTTTGATATCAAAGGGATTATTCATTATGAATTTGTACCAACTGGACAAACAGTTAACCAAGTTTACTTACTATTCGAAAGTGCTGAAACAGCAGCGTCTGTGAGGGAGTTTTTAGCCAGGAAACAAATAACTGTATTGGAACATCCTCCCTACTCACCTGATCTGGCCCCCAATGACTTCTTTCTTTACCCGAAGATAAAGGAAATACTGAAAGGAAGACATTTTGATGACATTCAGGACACCAAGTGTAATACAACAGCTCTGATGGCCATTCCAGAAAAAGAGTTCCAAAATTGCTTTTAAGGGTGGACTAGGTGCTGGCATCGGTACATAGCTTCCCAAGAGGAGTACTTTGAAGGTGACCGTAGTGATATTTAGCAATGAGGTATGCAGCACTTTTTCTAGGATGAGTTCACGAACATAATTGTCAGACCTCATACTCATTGCTGAATACCTGAAAAAGAAAACCTACTAAACTGAAAATAAACAAAATGAATTATACTGGTTAGGAACTTATTTCTATGAGTAAATTGTTATTTTGAGAAATGAATTAACCCTCTGAAAGAGCTAAGTACTGTGTCAGTGGATTTTTATAAATAATTATTTCTTTTTGTATTATAAAGAAACCTAATTAATTTGTTCCTGTCTGTGTTTGCCATGCAATACTATGTTTCCAAACATTCTATACTGAAAGAAAACAGGATTTGGCAATAATAATAATTTTAGTTAATCCTCTTTGTGCGTTTCTGAAGCTGCTCAGGAACATCATCATCAGCTATATCAGATGCTTTATTATTTTGGTATTAGAGAATGGAAGTTGATAACTTTTCAGGCAAATAATTATTTTAAGGAGCCAGGTTGAAAAACTACAGTATAAATAAAAGTAATATACAGACAGTTTAACTTCTGAACATAGAGGAGGAAATTTTATTATGTAAAAGCAGTGGATTAAAAAATGTAACAAAAATTCTGTATAACCCAATAACTCCATTTTATGCTAACATACAGAAAATAATCACATTATAGAATGCATTTATATCTCTTATTATTGTAACTCATTACATTTGTATTTTAGTACAGTCAAAATTTAAGTCATATTTCTTTTGTGAATCTAATTCTACCAGTCAATTAAAAATTTTCTGTTGAGTCTCTACTATATTGATCTGGCACCTTTAGTTATTGAAAATATTGTTTTATCTTTTGTTTCCTATTTGTTAGATGTTTGCAGTTCTACATGCTTCCTAATGTTCCCAAAAGAGATTAACTCTAGTTTTTTTGGGTTTTTTTAGGAGCTAACGCTCCTCTAAACTTATTTTCTTAAAGCAATTGAAGTCATATGAATTTAAAGTCTTTAAGGATTTTTCTTCTCCGTTCTTGCCCCTGACCCCACTATTCCATTATAATTAACTTTCTCTGATTTTTGTTAATCTAATTACTAGAATGAATATTCAAGTTATCATCCAACTTCATAGCTAGAGGTTTTAAATTACTTAATTTCTGTTTATACTATCATGTATGCTCTAAGATAGATCTGTTTGTGTAACTCATTATTTGAAATAGGCATAAAAACATAAGCGTTTCTGAAAATATATAACTTCTTGATATTGCACAAGAAACAAAAATATTAATAATAATGAATTGGGTACAGTTAACCAAAAGTAAAACTACAAATATACACACAATAAAGAAATAATGTGGCTATAAGATTCAAATGGTTAAGAAATGTGTGTATGTGTGTGTGTGTGCATGTGTATAGATTTATATCAGAAAGTATCTGTAGCCAGGTTAAAATTTCACCAAACATTTCATTTCCACATGAAAGGTTTTTTAAAACATGTTAACCATTGTTTCATTTAACAATTAGTTGAATTTTACCTTGCAATTTGAAAACTGAGAAACATGGTATTATACATTAATACTGAGAATAAATGTTTAACAGAAACTCATTCTGCTTTATTAGGTTATATTGCTATAATATGTCTTAAGATACATTCTTTTTGGTTGTCTGGGATTTGTGTAAATCTGCCACTATTATAATAGCACTTCTGTTTTTCCTTCAAGTTAACAGACTTCAAAGGGAGCTTCATTAACATTAATAATCAAGTTTGTAACATATATAAGATGAAAAAGGGCAAATGTTACATTACAGTGATAACTTGATTGTCTTTGCTTGTTAAAATATTGGTCTTAATTTTTTTTTCTCTGTACCCGTATTTTAAATTTATACTCCACATATTTTTGGGTGTAATTTAAAAAATTGTCTAAATACATTTCATAATATGTAAATTATAATTCAGATTATTTTGTTTATATGTGTTTACATAGATATGTGATTATCTCTATTTATAATATATTTATAGTAACCTAGCAAGCCCTTTCATTTTAGGAGGGACCCTTGAAGATAATTAGCATATAAAAGTTTCATTTTAGTGTAGCTTTAACCACTGATGTTGTATGAATATTCTAGTAACTTTTCTTTAGCAGATTTTCCACAAATACTAGAAGAGTTACCATGAATCAATTTTGTCACAACAAAGTGATTTCAAAGTGATCTTTACTGAGTTTTCTTGGATCCTTGCAACTGGAACTTTGGGGGTTGATGACGTTTGTCAGGAAGACAGAAAAGATGGTATCACTTCAGATCTGATATTCTTGAGTCTGGACTTAAAGATTATCTGTTGAAGATTGATTCTTCCCCTTGTTCTCTCCAAATTCAGATCTCACTTCTCCAGAGGTTTAGAAGGCCCTATTTCACCACTGCCACACAGAAAAAGACAAAACTCAAGAAAAATAATATTATAAGTTGACTGTTCTACAAGACACAACATAATTCTTAGGTCAGAATTTCATGGCTTTTGGCATCAGGCCACTACACTGTTAATACAACAAAGACTGGAAACAAAAGTTCCTGGAACTTACATTTATTTAATTTCTTCCCCAATGTAACTCATTGTACCCTTCAAACATAAGGTGTTCTTATTACTAATGCAATTCTTCAACTATAGGAGCACTTTTTTTTTTCTTGCATGATCTAAGCTAGAATGGGTAGGACACATAAATATGTAATATAAAGATAGGTCAGCCAGGTAGACCGAAGTAGGGAGAAAGGAAGCAGTTAAGAAGTGTTTTCCTTCAAAAAAAATTTTACAATGTTAACTTACTAATGGTAAATCTGGTTGAAACATAGATCTAACAAATTTGCAAGTTCATGTTTTTAATGAGAGCTTTGAGCCATCAAGTTAACATTGTTTTTTTCAAACATTGTTATATACATTCTGTAAATTAAAATAAAGCGCACACACACACACACACACACACACACACACACAGCGGAGTTTTCCTTCAAATTCTTAAATTCATAACTCTTCTAACCTGCCTCAGTGATTCTGAGTAGAATTATATTTTCTTGCAGCAACGTTTTGCCTTAATTCTGGGTAGAATTATATATTTTGCAGCAACATTTTGCCTTAAAAAAGATTGTCTCTTAAAATACTTTTCCCCACATCAGAGAACATAAAAGCATTTGAAAAAAAAAAAGACTTTCATAAGCTATGCTTAGAATTATACTTCCCTCATCTAAAAATGAGCTCTGCTGATTCTGATTGGTATAAGCAATTGCTTTCAAGTAGAATAAAAACAACATCGTAACTTTTTAAATAAAGTTTAACTGGGAGCTTCATAGGCTGCCTACCTAACTATTCCTTTCTCAAGAAGGTAAGGATAGAGAGTTATCAAAATTTTCTCACATAAAATTACTAATATTCCTGACTCTGAATTGAAATCATCCTTTACATTTTTTTGTCATCCTTTGATCCTAGCGTTTCCTGATTTCTTATTACAATGGCGATTAGTACATTGATACATTCAATTCAGAGCCAAGTACTGAATTATAATCTTCACACCATCTTTTTTGTCAGAAAATGACAATATGAGAAATTTTTTGTAAGATAATGAGAAGTTATATGGATGGTTTCTGGCCCCTTAGTGATCTATGATGGATTTTGACAGAAAGGATGAACAATTCTTTCACTAATGGACCTCAGTAATTTGGTTCCTGAATAAAGAAACAATTCAAATAGGATTTAAACTTCTTAATGCTAAAGTCAACTAAGCATGTGCATATAAATATGTAGGTGGTATAAAATTGGTTCAAAGTTAGCATGAATTTACAAGCTGCTATTGTCATTTAGTTAATATTTATACCTACCAATACAGACACAAACATTCTAAATCTTTGCATTTTTGCCTCGAGAGCATATAAATCTATAAGTAGCTAAATATCATCTGGTTTTTGTACGAGACTCTACCCATGCTACTGAGAAATACGTCCTTGTGTTTGATAGGCGGCCATGAAAAGGAGCCACCTAAATGATTATGTAGCCATTACCCATGGAATGAATCTTCACCATCTTCTCTTTCTATTCTAACTTAAAAAATGTTTGGCAAATAGATCATTAAAGTAGACTTAACATAGTAGTAGTTAAAACCTGTTGTACAGGCTCTAGAAATCAGGAAATAGATGCAAAATTTTAAAATCAGATTTAATCGGGAGGGAACTGTTTCATGTAAACTATTAAATAACTGTTCACTTGTTTAAAGTTTGCTGCTAGGTTAGGATTGATATAGAGGGTGTTGTTTCCTGAAATTCTTTTTCATTTCTTTTATGAATATGACTTTTTAAGTTACACTAGATATGCACTAGAAAGTAGATATTATTGGTAAATTGAATTATAAATGGCTAGAAAAACCAACTTTTGTTTTAGGCAAACTCTTTCATTGTTCTATTAATTTTAATAATCAATCACAATATGGTAATTGGGTTTTGGTTTTTTTTTTTGCCAAAGAAATGAAGAATTTCTTATGCACATCATCTGTTTAGGCAAAAAGCGGAAACTGGTTATTCTGGGGTCCTAATTTTTCTTGGGAACATTTTCAAATGATGAGTTCTTCAACTCATCAGTGTGATAACTAGTAAAAGGAAATGGTGATTGGTGGGAGAGATTAAAACAAAGGTTGGGACAAAAGGGGTGGGGGGGGGTAGTTCAGAGGTAGAAATATGGAAGTTGAATTCAATTTTTTAATTGAGCACCTACCATAGGCCCCCCAAATGGCTGACAATACCACTAAATGTTTTAGGTTTAAATAAAGGAAAATGAAAACATATCAGTAATTAGTCTTTATTTCTAGAACATCATTCTAAATGACCCATTCAAATAAAGTTTTGTTTTTGACTGATACATTTTCACATTAGTCAACATGTTCATTGGTACCATTACCAGCTACCTTACCAGGCACAGCAGATGACAGGTGATGAGCAAGGAGCAGTCTCATAGTAGCTTTACCACATGTGTTCCTAGGCTGAAAAGGCCCTTCTTTGTACTTCCGGTGGGTGGAGTATGTAGCTTAGTGTTTAAGTACAGGAGTGCAGAAATCAGATAGGTCTAGGTTCAAATTCCAGCTCTAGTATTTAGTTTCTGTGTGGTCTCAAGAAAAAATACTCAGTCCCTTGTCTGGAAAATTAGAATGACACTTACCTCATAAGGCGGTGAGGATTCATTAAAATTACATGTGTAAAGCATTTAGCAGAGTAGAGTGTGCTAACTAACCGGATGCTGGCATTAGAGGGAGAGCCCTAGGATGGACAGATCATGGGGTTTCCAACTCCGGCCTGCAGCGTCAAGTTCTTAACACCCAATGTAACTAACGACTTGCTTCAGTTCCCTGGCCTTCATCCTGCCACCTGTTTACTGCACCTCAGTGATGAGGTGGGAGGCATTCCACAAGGATATGTTCCCACCTAGCTTTATCAGGATTATGGAATCCCAGGCAGTGCTAATGCAGAGCACAAGCATTTATCACTGAGAAGCATCTGTCACACAGGAGATGGGGGTGGTGTGAGGAAAGATGAGGAAATGATCGAAGTAGATGATGAATGGCAAAAGATTTTTTGAATTCATAAAACCCATTTTAAATTAAGAAAAAAATACCAGTTTCTTCATTCTCAACGACGGGTGTGCATACACATTCAGGTTTCTTTTAGTTGGTACTGACTTAGCTTTTTGTAAATAATAATGACAAGTTTTTGTTTAACTGTTACACTGGTTCTTTGAGGGATTTTCCAGAGATCTATTAAATATAGAAATTCCTTAAGTGATATAAACAAGTATTGTTTTAACCAGGGAGAAAGTTGCCAACCACCACCAGCCTCTCTTCCCACTTTTTAGAATATAAGTCAGTATATTATCTCAAGTATTTAGGTATATCCTTGGCATGTTCATAACAATTGTTTCATTAGGCCTTCTCCAGCTCTAATGGAATTATTTTAATCTAATCAAATTATTTAACCTATCAAAGTACTTCAATCTCTACTCATCTCACCTAGAATATTTCAGCTGTTAATTTTTTACTCAACTTTTGTCTTGTTCATCTTTTTGTCCTCAACTACATTACTTAAATATTATTTTTTACACCAGTCTATTATTTTTCCTTTTAATTGGTGCTCTGCCTTAGCAAACTGTCCTTATTTTATAACTAGTGCCTGGAATCCCTATTCTAATTTTTGTCTGTACTCAAACTTCACACATTAAACATTGCTCATGTACCACTGTGAATCATTTCTCTGAATATTTTACTTTTGAAATATGGGAGAGATTAAGACAAATTTCTGAGTCCGAATCCACTGCCACTTGGTTGTGCTTTATTAATTTCTGAGATTCTTCTTAGTCCTGCTTACTAAAGCACTATAAACATCTGAGCTACACTGTAACTGGTGGCAAACCTGTTAGGCACTGACTCCATTCCTTCACAATTTCTCTCTAGAGAACAAAAGTCCTTTTAAGCAAGACCGTGTTAGTCAGACAGAAAAAGAAAACAAGGTTCTACATGAATCTATCTAGATTTTCCTTTCGTTTTTAGATTTGGAGACCGGATCACTCAAGTTATAAAGGCAGGAGGAGCAAGCCACTTCCACAACCTTGATTCATTGTCTTCACAGCACTGGAGGGCAAGAAGCGATAACAGGAAGGAGTTACCGCTCTGCAGCTCCTCCCCAAGAGAGGGAAAAAATGAGAGGAAACTGGGTTGGAGAGGTGTTGAGGTGCTGCGTATTTTCATTCCTCCTAGGTTTAAAAGGCAAGCAGTCTTTACATGAACTCTGCCTTAACAAGGAAAATTACATTATAAAGAAGCCTGTGCTGTCCGGTAGCTAGTTCCAAAACACAAGGTGTCCTGCGTTAACATGAAACTGGGAGAAAATATCGTGGAGGTGTGGCTTTGTGAAACTGAACATAACATCTCAGTCATGTAAAATTAGAGATCATGTTTAATGTTTACATATTTGCCTGCTAATTGTTGGCTGTTAGTGCATGTCAAAACACTTAAGTCAAACCCCCTTTTCCTAATGGAATAGACAATCCATTAGGAAATGGATTGGTAGTAGTGGTAGTGTTTAGAAAGAACCTTGCTCTTTAATGGTGATGAGGGTCATGTAAAACAGTGGTCCCAAAGAAAATGTTTATTAAGACACTATAGAAATAGTCTGGAAATTTTGTTTATCTTATCTCTCTACACTATTCTCTGAGAGTCTCTGGATTTGTTAAAAGAACTTTTCGCAGGGTCCTGTCAGTAATGCTTATACCATATTTCATTTTTAGTTGCAGTTCAGATTTAATTACTTGCTAAACTATTGTATCTAAGATGAATCATTTTTCCTATTATGTGGCTTTAAAAAAAATTCCTGATTTCTTGTTTATCTTTTTGTGTATTTTCCCCATCTCTACGTCCCATTAGTTTAATACTGCATGGCTACTATACCATTCTTATTCTTACTTAACACTTCAACATCTCCCCACAAATCTCTGAGCTCATGCTGTGCTCTAATATTTTCAAGTAAATCTGTGTTACTCAATAGATCTCTCAATTCTCTTAGCAACTTGTTCTTTTATGCAAGTTGTATACAAAAATATGACTTGTGTATCTCAAAAATCAGATGTAAAAAAAGAGCAATGTTGTTAAATTACTGTTCATAGACACAAAATTACACTTTTAAATATAGGAGTTATTTAACATCCCTTTCATTATGAGAAGGGTATTACAATGCAAGTAATTCACATTAAAAGGCATTCTATTCAATAGTTGTGTTTATTAGTGGGTCAGTTTTGCAAGTGTTTTAATTCACATGTAATTCGTGTAGACCCTGTTTCAGCAACAATTAACAAACAATACTACTACTTTAACTAAAAAGTGATAAACTATTTTCATTTATATGCTCTGTGATTATTTTTATACTTCTCAAATTTTGTAGTCCTTTACAGAAAAAATAATAATAAAGCATGGTGATAAACTGCAATTTGCCACAACACATTTTCTCCAAATCTTAGATAGTATAAAACACACAAGACATTTTTTTGCACACTCTACTTTTATAGAACAACCAGATTTGTGATTGATTTATTTTATTAGTTTTATCAATATACATGGCAGCTTTCTCAAATCTCAAAGTTCCAAAAGTATGTAATTTTAAAGGTAAAAAATCATTTTTCTTTAGATGTCATATTTCTAGAGAACTATTAAAGTCTATTTATAAACAAAAATAATTAATAAACTAACACACTTTAGAAATCAGAATATTTTAAATTATTTTAAAGGAATACAAGATATGTCTTTTTAATTAACTATCATAGTTAAATTTAATATCACAAAACAAAATGACTCATCCCCACTAATGTCTCAGGTGAGGTAAAGTCATTGAGTTTTATACTTAATATAAGTTTTAAATGATTATTAAATGATATTTTATCAATTATAGGAAAATATTAATTTACAGGAATTTCTTTAGTTCCATCAACGTTTTTAGGCCAAGTTTGAGCCCATGTCCACTTTCAAGGTTAGATTCAGTGCACCTAACCTGCCTAATAAGTATATGAATTTCACTGATAAAAAGGGGGAATAAACAGTGGCTAAATCACCATTCAACTTACAAAAAAAAAAAAAAAAAAGCTAAAAGTTAAAGGGATCATTTCAAATAATTAGTCAAAAAAATTTTTTTTTTAAATTTAAACAGGGAATGGCCAATGATGTTGGGTTTAAAATTTCACAAAATTTCACAGGATAACCTTAAAAAAAACAAAAACACATAGAAATAGTGAAGTCATCACCTTATTGATAAAAAACTAAAGTTTAATAGTCATTAAAGGGTAACAACCACTTGTAGTCTACATTTAAAAGTAACTTTAACCATAGCTAAAACAAACTAAAAACAAAGAATTCTATTAAGAAAAAACAAAAAAATGATAAAACATTTAATAACACCTAAACCATAGATACTTAAGATCCTAAACAAAAATATTTAAGGTCAAAGGGCCTTGAAACTTTTTTCAAACACTTCACCTTAGAAAATCAATTTCTAAATAGCTCATATCCTTTGCTTTGGTGTTTTGTCTACTATCAACTAAACATTAGCACAGTAGAAAACCACTTATGTTCTTTTCAAATGCTTGGCATTATAATGTGATCTCATATCTTTCCTCAAATTAAATTTTGCTCCACATATTCCACACGTATACAGGTGAACATCCATGTGCTGTTCCAACTGTTCATTATTTGGGAATATCTGAAAGCAGACCTGGCATATAGTCTCACCAGCAGATAAATGAGAAATCATATGCCGTACATGGTCATGTTTTCGGAAGTTTCCTTGATCACAAATGGAACAGACATACCTGGCCATGCCTTTGTGCATGTCATTGTGGAGTCGCAACTGACGTTCTCTTAAAAACTGCTTTCCACATGTCTGACAAACAAACTGTTTTTCCTTAGTATGAACAGTATAGTGTTCTCTTAGGTGACACCGCTGGTAAAACCCTTTTCCACACAGATTACAAAAATGCTTTCGCCTGTGATCTCTTTCGTTTTCTTCCATGATGGCACTCTTAAACATATCTTGGTCTAGGCAGCTAGACATATGTTCAACCACTAGATTTTCAGTTTCAAAACGTTGGCCACAATTAGGACACCGAAAAGGACAGGCAGAATGTTTAAATAACTGCTTTTTTTGGATACTGTTTATCTGGAAATGATTGTCCCTAAAATCATCCAACATCTCAAACATCTCTCGTATTTCAGACTGCTCATCGGGATTCTCTTCCATGTCCATTTTCTCCTCAGTATTTCCTAATCCATTCATTGTCAGATCTTGGGGTTCTCCACATCTTTGAGCATGTTCCTGAAGCTGTCTACCCTTAACAAGTATTTGTCCACATTTACCACATGCACAGATATTTTCAATGTGTTTGGCTAAGTAATGCGATGACAGGTCCTCCTCAGTTATTGTGAGTCCACACAGCTCACAAGATGCATTTTCAGTGTCCTCTTGCACTGGACTGCCATTGTTGGGGGGCCTCATATTTTCTAAACCACCTCTTTCATCAGCATTTATTGACATCCGTGGTTTTAGAGTTTTCCTACCACTTTTTTTAATACTGACATCTTCTTCCACATAATATCTATAAAATGGCTCTTCAGGTTCATCTTCTAATTCATCGTTGTCAGTGGATTCATTACAATCTTTATCAGTAACTTTAATAATGTTAAAGTCTTTCAGTTCATCTGTAGGAATATCTTCTGGCTCCATCTTGATGATGATTCTTTTCCTCTCAGCAGCTCTGCTTTTCTCTTCACCGGCTAGTTCAGACTCCACTGTGCTACTCTTTCTGCTTCCAGTGGTGGAAGTCGAATCGTCAGCAGCCTGGTTTGTCTCACCTCTGTATTTGTCTGTCTGTGCAGAAAATGTTTTAGAAGCATCCTTTTCACCAAATTCGGCTTTGATATTACCGTCTTTTCCATCTCTAACATCTACTATTCTGTGGTAGGCTCTCGTGTTTTGATATGAATGTCTGTTAGTACAGGTTAGCACATGCTCATCTAATAATTTCTCACAGCTAAAGCCAAACCCACAACTGTCACAGGTAAAACTCCGTCCAAAGCGTCGCGACACGCGTTCTTTTGGAGTAGATAATTTGGACACAGAACTTTTTTTACATACATCAAATAGTGGTTCAGGTAAATTACCTAATTGTAAAGACTCTTCATCAGGTTCTCTATTATGTGGTGTATTTACGGTTGAACTTGGCTCTGCACACCACCTATTGGCTTCACTGCCGTTTCTAGCCACAGTGTCTTCATACATTCGTACTCCAAATATCATTTTGCTGTTGTGTTTGCTAGAAGCAGAAGATGAACATTTTGAACTAGAACAATCTGCATCCTGTATGTCTTCTAAGCAGTCAGGAACATTGTACAGCTGTAGGTAGTTCATTGCCACTTTAAACTGCTCAAAACTGGAGGGAGCGGTCATAATTTTTCCTAAATACATAAATTGCAAAATGAGATCAAAACACTCAGCACTGATTTTCATGTTGCTGAGATTCAGTTGTGCAGTACTATGCTGATGGTTCATGAAAAACATTCTAAAATAGGAGCTACAAGCAGCTAGAACTGCTTTGTGTGCTTGAAAGTAAATGTCATCAATTGCAATACAACAGTCACAGAGAAAACCCCATTCCCTTTGGTTGTTTAGCTGCTGAAGGACGTAGCTGCTGTGGCTGGGCTTTGCCATCTTCTATTAATTGGAGACCTATGTAAAACAAAAATATTGAAGTCAGACAAGGCAGCAGAAGAGTACCTGAAAGAAAGAATAATTTTGATCATGAGTTGTGACTTGTGTGACTTTGCTATTACAATCAATGTATGGATAGCTTTCCATTCTAATGTAGCAAAATTCAATAATATAAACCTGAATAATTTTTTAAATTTGGAGATGAAGATACCCAGCCATTTATTCAAGCTTCTCATTTTCATTTTAAAGAATGGAAGCAAAGGTATCACAACCAACACCCCATCACACCACTTTGGTTTTATTACAACTCTAGGGGGGAAAATGTATACAAAATTTGAAAGGAAAAAAGACACTAGTTTAAAAGTACTTGGAAGATACCAACAATGAAAGTAAATAAAATAGCAACTTAAATTGAACTTTAGTAACTAAATTGCAAAATATTAAAAACTTCTTAGATGACTGATATAAAGGAATTATTGCTCATTTTCAAATGTGATGAGAGGGTATTTCGGTTTTGTTAAATAAAAGTCCTTATCTTTTAAATATACATACTGACATATTTATGGATGAAATGCTATATCTAAGATATGCTTGAAAATAATACAATGGGTTGGGAGATATAATATTGGCCATGTGTTGATAACTACTAAAGCTGGAAGACAGGTATAATTCTATTTGTATATGTTTGAAAATTTCCTTTGAAAAATTCTATTTAAAAAAAAATCTTATTAGATTACATGGAAACAGCACCAAGCAAATAGGTTTGACCAATGCTTTTCTCTTTTTTTGATTATTGAAGAAGCAATAATTCAGAATATGTGTCTTTTATTGCTTGGCACGCACTTTAGGGTACAAAGAAGCAGATCTATTTGGGAAGGAGGTATCTATCCATAGACTGTAAATTTTTCCTCTTTTTATTGTTTTTAAAAAGTATACAAAAGTGTAACACATACTCATTGCAAAATATTCAAATATAAAAGTACACAGAATAAAAACACACCTTAGGTTGCATACCTCTTCCCAGAGGTAACCTCTCCAAACACTGGATTGTATATCTTCAGATCAGTTTCTATGGATACATACAGAGGCAACAGATATTGAGCACCTACTATGTGCCAGGCACATAGTTTTGCTTTTGTTGTGTTTTTTTATTTTTAAATCTAAATGGTATTGTACTAATATTCCTTTTTGCAACTAATTTTCTTCACGTAACAACATATGGTAGCCACTCTAAGTATTTTTAATGTAGGGAGTTGACTTTGGATAAAGAAAAAAGGAAAGGAAAATATTAAAAGTACTAGAAGTCCTATCTATTATAATACAAATCTAAAATAAGATCCAATTTTAGCCTCAAATTTTAATCTGTATACATAAAACTTCAGTCTATTTTCTACTGAAAAACAAGTTCCTATGCAATTTGACTGAACATAAAAAGAACATTTAACAAGCTTGTTCAGAGAAATAAATTGTTCACTATTCAGTCCCTAAACCCTTTGATCCCCAAAGTAATAATTAAGAGAGTATCTAAGTTTACTTACTTCTACCTGCTTTTTATCTGTTCGTCACAGATCACATGTAGATCACATAGCCCTTTTCCCTACTACCAAAAGACCTATCCTGCCTCCTTTTTCCTGCCTAAAGACAAGAGTTGCATAGCCAGGATGCATGTGAAATAATATTGTTGAAATGCACTGTTGAAAATGAAGGTGGCTTCTTAAAATTGCAACCACTGTGCTTTTCCTACAAGGTAGATCAAGTATTTCAAGTACATACAATATTTCAACCTTTTGTAACTCAGATTTATCTGTGCCAAAACTGTGAGGAATCACATTCAGGATGTACCGAAATACAAAAAGCAACGTATGCACCCAAGATATTCATCAGTGTGTTATTTACAAATTGATATGCCTAATAAAAGGGAGTTGTAAGTAAACCAAGGTAAATCCATACCCTAAAATTCACTGTCATGTGGTGTTTAAAAACTAGATTTACAAATGAAGACTGTAGAAGAAAATGAGAAAAGATTTTAGGATAGAAAGTCAAGTAAATAAACACAGGATACAAAATTATGCAACAATTATAATTATATAAAACAAATCCAAACAACAACAAAACCTTATTCAAAGGTTAAAAAAAAAGAAAACACACACACACATCCACACTCAAAAATGTTGATCCCCAAGCTTGTTTTATGTAGGATGAGATTTCTAGATCTATAAGCATTTTGTAGGATTCAGAGAAACCTTTAATAAATAAATCAAAGGGAAAGAGGCAGAGGGATAGATAGCTCAAAAATTTTTTTCTAGTAGTAAGAGTCGTTTCAAAATGGAACAAACCCGCGCAGAGGATAGTGAATGCCCTGTGTGGAAGCTGGGACGAAGTGTTGTTGAGGACGGTCTGTACAGGGAAAAGAGCACAGGCTTTGGATCAGACAGATCTGAGTTCCAATCCAATTTTGCGACTTTAGGTAACTAGTTTATCCTCACTGACCCCAAGTTTCCCGAACTGTCAAAGTGGGGATAATATAACTCAAATGATACACCAAACATGAGGGTTCACAGAAGCAGTGTGTACAGTGTATATGATAATTAATGGAAGTAACAGTGGCAGTTGTGCAGTGGGGATGCTTACGTATAAGTATCAGGAGGTACGCTGGTCTAAATAGTCTTAACGTTTCCTTCCAAACAGGAGTCCGACAGTACGAAAGCCAGCAGTTAATCGGTTCTCATTTTAAATATCTCATGCTTGAAATGATGACATGAAGAGCTTAAAGGTTTCAAGGGCCCTTCTAATGGAAATGAAAAGCAGTTTTATGGTCAGCAACCAAAATTAATGCAACTCCAAAGACCAATATGACAAGCACCATCTGTAGCTATTGTCACAATTCTATTAATGAAAATACATATATTCTGTGTTACCATAAACAAAACACTAAAACAAATAAGAGCATCAACAGCATTTTACTGTATACTTATTTTATTTTATTATTATTATTTTTTTTTAGCTGAGCCATCCTGCTACCTGTTGGCAGCTCAGCGGCTGCTCAGNGGCTGGACTCGAACCGCTGTTGCTCAGAGCTCAAACTCTTGAGCGAGCTCTTAACCAACTGAGCCACTCGGCCGGCCCTTACTGTATACTTATTAATTCAACAAATACTTATTGGGTATTTTGGTGTGCAGGGCACTGTATGAAGTACTGAGAATGAACAATAGAACAGGTATTCTGTAACTTCAAGGCTACAGCATGGAGAATTTGGACGTTTTCCTAGATTAGTGACTTCATTCAACATATAGACTGTAAAATGCCTACTCTGTGGAAGAAGGCTTCGCGCTGTGGTGGAAAGAACAAGGGCTCTGAGTCAGACAAGCCGGGTACGAATTCCACTGCCTCCACATGTCTCTGTTTCCATCTGCCCTCACATAGAGCTCCAGGCTGAACAAGTACTGTGTCTAAAATTAATGCTAAAACTACAGCTTTCAGGCTGACCTAGATTGGTAGTTTCATCAATGTCATTATGCAAATGTCCAAGTTCTGAGTAAAACTAATTTTAGGTAGGGTGATTTAACAGCAATCATTCACACATTAGCACCAGTAATTTTGTCCTTGTCACACCTCATTCAGAAAAGCTTTAAGAAAGCTTACCACCACCAAAAAAAAGGGGGGAAGGGGGGGGGGAGGGAATCTAAATTTCTGTAAGACTTAGTTTGTTGGCTCTTGAGAATAATTTTGCATTAAAATTTTTACAATTCACTTACTTTTATTAAACAATAAATTTCGCTCAAATTCCAAAAGAAGTGTGCTCTCTTTTCAAGCTTTTGATATTCTTAATAATGCTACCAAAAAAAACTTAGTAAACTTTGTTACAGTAAAGCTTGTAACCAGTTTTAAATAAAAGAGCTGCTTATATTTCAGTTCTTGTTTTTATAACTGAAATTGCTGGCTGCTTTTGTTTGTGTTACTAGCTGCATCGCTGGTGGAACAAGTTTATTACAGCTAAGCACCCAGTATACATGCAGCTCCAGGAGGAATAAGGAGTTAGGCGATGCAAAAATTTGACTAGATTTTTAAAATTTTAGTTTGAAAAAGTTTGCCAGCTCATCTTACATTCAAAAACAACCACCAAGGACATTAAGCAATTTAGATATTCATAGACTTGTACAGTGTAGAGAGATCTAATCTAGTCCAACATTCTCATTTCATAGAAGGGCAAAGATCTAGGGCTGTTACTGTATCAAAGGTATAGTTAACTGTGGTGAAGTAGGTACTAGGACTCTTGACCATCCAGATGGGTACTAATCACTGTACAGTGGTTACTACATATTCGTTGGTACGAGTACGCAGTATGCCCTTCTCAAGAATACTCCACAAGGACTGTCTGTGCATGCATCTTCCATACAGGTTTATTAGCCAGGGGGTCTTGTACGAGTGACTACCCCCATCTGAACTCTATCTGTAATGTGGTTTTATCTGTGTGTGTGCATCTAGACTTATCCAGTTGACGTGTTCTCTAAATTACACTAAATTACACTGTGTAAGCTATTTCAGTAAATTTCTCACTGACATAGTAATGTTTAAGAAATACTTTTCCTTCATTGCTAAATCTCTCAAATTGGAAAAAGCAGTTTTGCTGGAAGATTCTTTTGCCTTAGCCTTAGTCAAATGATAATTTAAGGGTCTATAAATAAGCACATAAAGTAAATGAAGAAGTAACAAAGACATTTTGGAGTTGACCCTTTCTGTAACGCAAATAATCACCCTCTAATTTATGTCACAGACTAGCATTACCCATTACCAAGGAGGCCCCTGGGGACGATTTGCATGGCCTCAGAGAGTCTGCAGCAGAGCCTCGCATCAGGCTCTCAATTCAGTGCCCCAGCCTCTGAACTCCTAACAATCACCTCTGGGTCCCAAAGGACATTTCAATGTATACATTCATTTCCTTATGCCTATTTCTGTGTCTTATCTGATTGAATGTATGTGCATGGATTTAATTTGAGGGCTATACTTGTAGACTAGTTTTTTAAGAAGACTGCAATGTAATGAAAGGATTCTTTCATGTTTATAAATCAGAGTATCAGAACATATTGAACACCCACAATATTGCTAATATGGCATTGAGGTGGAGGTGAAGAAGGATGGTATACAATAGAGCTAATTACATAAAAGGGATTAAATTTTATACCAAGACACAAGTTGAGAATAATTATGTACTGAATTATATTGAATAAAGTTCAGCAAGAGTTTAGAAAGAGAAAAGCATGAATTGCACTGGAACAGTAGGCTTTAGGAAGGGTGCAGGATTTGAGTGGAGCCCTGATGAATGGGTAGGATACAGAAAAACAGAAAGCAGAGGGAAAAGCATTTCAGTAGTCTGCACAGATGTCTGTGTAAGTAATTGGGGAGAGGTACACAGCAGCATAAATAAAAGCTTGGAAATGTAATTGGAGGGAAGGTAGATTTGTTTTACTGGCCTTACTATGAAAGTGCCAGGCTCCAGTCTAAGCAAATGGGCGTGTATCATATGTATTATATACATACACATATGTATGCATGTAAATATGTATACCATTTCATCATTTAATCCTCACAACAAACCCTACAAAGTAGGCAATGTTTTAAGACTCATTTTCCAGATAAGAAAACAGAGGCACACAATGTTATATAACGTTTCTAAGGCTATAGAGGACTTGGTGAGATTAGAACACAAGCAATGTGCCTCTCCAGCCTGACATCAAGGCCTTAACGACGTTGCCACCTATAAAAATACGGTAACCTCAGCAAAATTCTTTCCTAGAATATCACTTTCCAGGGTATACAGTCAAATTTCTAAATTTAAACTTAATTAAATTCTTTAGGTTTTTCTCCTTGAAATTTCCAGGAAGAACCAGTTGTATACAGGCTCCTAAAGATAAAAGGTTTTACTTCAAGGTACTTAAATGACAGACATGATTAAGTTTAGAAAATTGTATTCAGTTTTTAGAATAGGCACTCTGGCTGGTTATTAGACTGTACACTCGATAGTACAGTTAGTTCTGAAATTATAATTAAGTTACGTTCTAAAACTTGATTTGTAAGTTAATTACTTGGAGCTTGAAACATATATTCCCATAGAAACAATGCTACAAAGAGGGGCTCAGTTCTATCCCCACATTCTACAATCTTTAAAAACCCTAATGTAGCTGTAAGTCAGTCCTAACACTCTTCCTCACATTATTAGCACTAACAGGTACTGCACAGCAGTGCCCAAGTGAACTCTCAAGGACAGGGCCGAGGCTTGACGACCTTCGTGTTCCCTGGTTGGCACTGAATGCATGCTTGTTAAATGAAGGATTAAATAAGGGCCCAGGAAGCAGACACCAGTAGACATGGATACCAACTTTACCGCTGAACTTCTTTACCTCTCTAAGCCTGCCACTTTTCTCATCTATAAAATACAGATAATCACACTTCTCATCTATAAAATACAGATAATCACACTTCTCACAGGAGTCTCGTATAAATTAGAGATGACAAATGTTTGTCTTTTCAAGCCAAGCACAATACAATTTTTCTTAAATACTAATGTCATCATTGTGAACTTAGTTCATATAATTTTACAAAGTGATCAAGTTCAATCCACTGCTTTATAGATGAGAAAACAAACTGAGGCCCTAGATTAAGCGATATGCTCAAAGTCATATCTAGTTTTAGAGGCTGACAGATCTCCTTATCCTGCTCTAGGGCTCTTCCTACTATTCTAACTGCCACCCCTAAGTCCAGCACACCTGGCTGGCTGCTTTCTCCTCTGCATCAATTATGTTTTGCTGAAATAAAAGAGCTGTTCAAATTTCCAGGGGCTGTTTGCACCTACAAAATGACCTGAGACAGTTACACTTTTTTTTTTTTTTTTTTTAGCTGAGCCATCCTGCCACCTGTTGGCAGCTCAGCAGTTCAGCTCGGGCTGGGCATCAAACCGCTGTTGCTCAGAGCTAACTCTTGAGCGAGCTCTTAACCAACTGAGCCACTCGGCCAACCCTAAAAAAATTTTTTATTGGGGAACAGCCATGGTCATTGGTTACACACTGCTTTCATGATATAGTTGACTCTTTTACAGAGGGCGCAGCTCACAGTGGCCCATGCAGGGACTTGAACCGGCAACCTTGGTGTTATCAGCACCTTGCTCTAACCAACTAAGCTCACTGGTCTCCCCTTGTTATGCCTCTGAAGACTGTGATCTGTTGGTATTTTTCTGTCTCCTTACTTGTCAAGCCAACAGCCGTCACTTCTAAAAGGTGTGCTGAGCAAGCTCCTGCTGCCCACCATTTCAATCTGTTATGGGTTATGAAATTAAGAGAAAAACTCATCGAAACTGAATCTACATAAAAAATTTTTTGTGAGGTAGGGCCGGCCGAGTGGCTCAGTTGGTTAAGAGCTTGCTCAAGAGTGCGAGATCTTAGCAACAGCGGTTTGATTCCCGGACCGAGCTGAGCTGCTGCTGAGCTGCCAACAGATGACAGGATGGCTCAGTTGGGGATATTTTCTCTGACATAGGGAAGTGTTCAAGGAGTAAGATAAGATTTTAATTCCTGCACTTTGTTTCAACTATCTGAATTGCTGATAAGCAACAAATAGTTTAACTCTTTTTCTTCAGCCCAGGGCACCTGATAGCTGGGGTTGCCAACCAAATAAACTTCTAAATAAGTGAGGTGTTTTTGTAGTTCAGCTGCATTATGTATCTAGGAAATGAATTAATCCACACAGAAAGCAAAGAGAACATGGTGGCTTTTGGGACACTCCCCTCTCCCTCCAGGAGTAGAGGAAGAAAATTATTTAATTCAACCAGTCTACATTTTTTTTGATCTGTTCACCCTAGAGGCAACATGACATCTTCTGACCACCAGAGGGCACTGTGTGAACAGCTGGCTTCTCAACAACAAGCAGCTTCATCAGAAAGTCCCTTTCTGCACGTGGCATTTATATTCTTAAGAGTTCATTTTGTGGCACTTCTATGTATTCAAAAGTACTCCCTTTGTGACTTTGTCTGGGACCCACCTAAAACTGCTCCTCCACCTGTATTCTGAGTCAGCTGACACCACCATGCAGGCTACTTGGGAGTTACCTGGGTCTCCTCCCTCGTAATTAAGTCTTGCCAATATTTTCACTAAATATTTCTCAGATCTGCCCCGCTATTCCACCCCTACCTTCCCTGCACTCCTGATGCCACTATTATCACTCCTGAGTTAGTACAACAGGCTCCCTAACTAGTCTCTCAAATCCATCCTCACCCTCAGAGGACTCCTAAAGAACAAAAATCAGACCATATCTTTCTCCTGCTTAAACTCTACTGTTCCCCTCACATATCCCCAGGCTAAAGTACAAACTCCTTAGCAAGGCATCAAAGGCTCCTGCCCACCCATCTCATCTTGTTTGGCTACTTCCTGCTTCAAACTTCTTGTTCAAACAGCGTAAAACTGCTTGTTTCCCCTCCCCCATCCCTCATCTCTTCATGTATTTTCCCTCCATTTTTAGTCGTGCTGATTGGTTCTTGTATCTGAACCTCCCACAGATCATTTATCTATCAGTTTATCACCTCCTCCAAAAAGCCTTTTGTAATGCCTCCCTCTCCCACTATTTTGGGGTTTGATATTACTTTTTGTTATGTCCTTAGTTTGCACTTACTACACTGTATTTTAATTACCAGAACAGCAACATAAAGTAGGTGTTAAAGCACAAACTAACTAGACTGCCTGGGTTCAAATTCGGGCTCTGCCACTTGTTAGGTGTGACCCTGGGTAGGTTGCTTAACCAATTTGTGCCTCAATTCTCTCATCTGAGAACCAGGATGGTAATCCTTCTAAGCATTTAGACTTATTGTAAGGCAGTGTCTGAAAGGGAGTAAGTGCTAAATAAGAATTGGCTACCATAGTTCCTATGTGTTGGTCTCCCCACTAGATCATGAGGAATTTGAAGGCAAAGACTTCAGCTTCTTCATTTCTCTGCAACATAATATGTATTCAGTAAATGCGGCTAAATGAGTAACTTGGTGAGGCAGCTCTCTGATGATGAGGGACTACCCTGATGCTCCTTTCAGTAGATGCACACATTTCTAAATTACATTGTTTCCAATGTTGTAGCTCCAATTGTTTCTATGTTTAATTCTAACCAAAATCCTGAAAACTTCATACTTTAAAGTCAATGAATAAAAGCAATAGAGTCTCATAAAAAGTGTGTTCATTCTAAGAAGCTTAACGCCATTTTTAAGCCTTAAATCTATTTAAGACTATCCCTCATCCAAAAGCACCTACACAGCAAAAGTCCTCATGCCATCACACATGCTATTCCTTAGAACCTTTTCGATGTCCAGCTCACTTTCTTCCGGAAGTTTTTTCTGATCCCAAGTCTAGGCAGATGACCCTCTTCCGTGCTTCCGAAAGATCCTGTACCTATAACTATAGGGTGACAAATAATGTATCATCCAAACTGGGATGCTATGTGGTGATATATCTATCACCACACTAACAGCAGGGGTTATAAGTACGCTGCCCCCCTGCTTTGCTGTAAGCTGCTTGAGATCAGAGCACTGTCTTAGTCATCACTGTATACCCTGAGCCTGTAACAGTTGCCTGATACTTGGTTGATATCTGATCAGTTTTTGAATGAATCAATGTTGAAGTAGGTTAAGTTTTACTCTCCTTATCAATTTTTTGTATTACTTCAATCACGCAATTTTTATATAGTGGCCAAAAATTTACAAAGCAATTTCTTATACATTATACAACTGATTCTCACAACAATCCTGAGGTAGGTATTTTTATCCTTATTTTGTGAATGAGGACACAGGTTCAGCCGTTGATACTTAAGTGCTCATCTTGTAAGTAGAAGATGGAACTCAAACTCTCGGTTCAGAGTCCTAAGTTTCAGTTTTTATAAACCAGACAACACTCTTTCTGGCAATGACGATGAACTGAAGTGTCCCTTTGCAACATTCTAAGCCTCCCAGTCACCCCATTCTCATGTTGCCTCATACTGCAGGCAGAATGCCCGGCTCCTTCCCCATCTCCTCTTCCATCTGCTGACTCCCACTGCCCATCAGAGCAAGCCCTGCAATACTAAAGATTTCAAGTGGGATGCAGCTCGTCGTCTCAAAAGGATTCCATGCTATCTCACACAGACAACCAACAGAAAATATGGTTGATTTAATTCTTTCCTTAATTTTCTAATTTTATTTTGAAAATGATTTTAACTCAAAGCAGAGTAGTGTAAAAACCATGCATGTCCCCAACATCCTCAAATAACCAATTTGTGATTAAACTTCTAGGTATTATTTTGGGGCTTTGTTTTCAGAACATCATCAGCTACTTCTTTACAGCTCATAACAGGCTAATAAGGGATTCTGCACTTTCATTAAGATCTCTTGTAGTTACTATGTAAGCCACAGTATTACTCAGAAATCTGTCTCAAATATGTACCACCTGCTCCCGTGCCACATCTGAAAACCACAGGCATTGACCCCCTTCTTTCCTCAATGTTTGGCATGCTACGTCTGGATATTGATCAAGAGGAACCCCTCATCGCATGCACATCAGCACAGAGATGTCTTGGCAGTGGTCTTCATGGTAAGTGTACCCACTACTCCTTCCCAACTATAAATTATGAAACTTTCTACAGATGTGAACGTTTGGTTTTGCTTGAATGAGTTTGGCCTGTATAAATCAATCCAGGAGAAGCTGGACATCGACATTAACATTAAAAAAGTGTGAAAACTAGCATTAGCCCACCAAGGCATAGTAAGTACTTCAAAAGGGCAGACCTGAAATAGCAGCCCTGTTACATTTAAATTTTCATGTCTGTTACTTAATCATAGAATTTCAAATCAGCCCAATGCAAAACATTTCCTTTTACTCTACCTGGCCAATTCTCACCAACCTGAGTAGTGAACAGAGAACAGCAGTCCATGAATCATCTGAAGGCCACCCCTAGGCAGGGTGAGGCACACACAGCAGCACGGTTATGACCAAATGTGGCCTTCTCTCATTTTAAACAAGGAATTTACTGTGAACAGTGATTATCTCTGAGGAGTGGGAGTCAGAATGACTTTCATTTTTATAGTATTTTATGTACTTCAGTATAGGTTGAATTTTTACAAAGAGCATGGGTTTTATAAAAGAGCATGGCTTTTATAAAGTATTTCTATTTTGAGAAAAAAGACATGACTCACTTTTAATTTGGTTCCCAAAAGAATATAAGAATAAATAACAAAGTAATTTGAATATTTTATAGTGAGATAGCACAAGAAGAAAATATCAGGACAAAACATCCTACAGAGATCAAAGTGGCCTCACAAGCAGATGTTTTGCAAATATACCTAAATTTTTTGGGGGAAGACAACAGATTGTAGCTTAAAAATAAAAATCTATGGAAAACTTTTTGCATTTTTATTCCAAATGGTTTCCTCCCCTTTGGGCCAGAAGGTTAATAGCAATCGGCTGACACTCTTCCGGGGTGGAGGAGGAGTGGCCTGCAAGCAGGCACTTCTTTTTCCCTGCACATTATAATGGAAAATGGTGCTAAGTACAAAAATTTAGCAGTGTTAAACCAAAATCAAAACACAAGGTCAAGAGCAAGTGGCTCCAACAGTGTTTATGCTCTGTTAAGGTCCTGGTTAAATATGGTTTCTCTTTTCTCTAACAGTGATGGACGCCCCCCCCCCCCCCACCTGCCCAAAGTTGGTCACTATATTGCAATGGGAAGAACAGAAAGGCTTCCGGAAAGACCTCTCAATCAGTTATTCTGTATTTGGTAATAATGGAGAAATCTGCTTTTAAAATCAATATAAGATGTTAACTGAAGACTCTCCTGCAAACTGTCTATTAATCTTTGGAAAAGCATCTCACCTCCACTATATTTCAATTTTCTGTTTAAGATGAGGAACCCCCACTCCCACTCCCCATCTAGCTCCCAAAGCCAGTTATTGAGACTTTATCAGATATCCAGTAAAAGATTCAAAAGGAAAATTCTGAGGTTCTGACCACCAGTCTTCAATCAAGCTTCATCTTTTTGTATCCCAATTCTCCTCATCACATCCATTTGTACCGACAAAGTTTCATAGAATCTAATTTCGCCGTTTCAAAGACGGTGATTGCTTTGAACTTATGAGAACTGCATCCTTCACCAAATCTGCTCCAGAATGCCTTGAACTGCAGCTCAAGAAACTAAGTCTCCTCAAAAAGCCTGGGACCGCTCCTAGGGTTCGAGTGTCAAGGAGAAAATTGTTCCTGGAATAGTTTTCCTGCTGTGATACATTCTGTTTGGAAATATACTTAAGCTAGTGGAGAATCTGTGCGTACCTACCACGTTGAAGTTCGACTTAGTAATATTATTACATATACAAATGCCCTACTGTCCCCAGAAAACATCAAGGGCTTTCACCAACATCTCCCTGACGCTCCTAATCTGGAAAATGTCATGTCAACCTTTCAGATCATGTAACGCGTTGCTTAGGTAGAATGGGAGAGTGGCTGAGTTCAGACCCAAGCCTACATACTTTAGTGGTAACGACTCCCGATCTACATCCAACACATTTCCCGAACACTAACAGAACTTTTAGAAAGCGCCCACCACTGGAAGCGAAAAGCACTTTCTTCTCAGGAAACAGAAGATCTTTTCCACTGAAAATTCCCAAACCCGAGACCTACCACTTTTTACTGAACAAAAAGCGTGTGTGCCGGCAAGAGGGGGTGGGAAAGGAGCGTGGCAAGCATTTGCACGGCTCTTACGCCTCCTCCCTCGGAGCGCGCCCAAGTCTGCGGCCTCGGGCTCCGGGACACTTCCCCTCCCACCCGCCGAGGAGCCGCAGCTGTAAGTTAAGAGAAGCGGGCTCTGGGTACGTCAATCAACCGGGTCCTCCCGCCTTCCGTCTACACCTCTCCCTTCCCCTTCCCCCCCCCCCCAAAAAAATAAATAAGGGCAGAGAAAGAAAGGGAAAAGAAGGTAACTAATGTGGGAACTAGTCTCCGCTGGAGCTTCACCTCGGACCCAGGGAGGCCGCAAGTCCCGGACTTTGTGCGCCGGCGGGCGGCGGGATCGAGCAGGCGGCCCAGCAGCCGCCCATCGCCGGATCCTCGCAGCGCGTCCGCCGCGCTCCGGCTCCCCGCACGGGTCGGCGCGGCTCTGGCCCCGCACTCCGCCAGGCCCGCGGCCCGCCGCCCTTTGGCGCGGGCCAAAGTTGCGCAAATAGCCCCACAACTGGCAAATACTCACCGGCCGCAGCAGGAACCGGGGTTGCGGAGATTTTAGGGAGTTTAAGGCAAATCAGCCACGGGAAAGGCGGGCGGAGGCGACGGGGCCGCGAGCTGCAGTGGAGACGACGCGCGGCGCACGGGCTGGGCTGCGCGGAGAGGTTCTGGCTCTGCCAGGGACTGTGCTGCAACAAAGGACTTCCGCTGCCGCACAGCCGCGCCTGCCGCACCGCACTGAGCCGGCCCCGCTTACGCGGCGACTCCGGGTCTGCCCACCAGTTCGCTGCGGCGTCCGCCAGCCTTCCCCTCCCTCTCGCCCGCCCACCCACTCCGCCGCTGGCTGCTAGGGGCACCAGCGGTCGCCTGTTTGTTGCAACAAGTTTCTGCGTCGGGCTCCGAGAGGGCTGGCGCAACCCGCATCGCGGGGGCTGGCGCGGCGGCGGCTTGACCACCCCTCTTGCCCCTCTCCCAAGGGTAGGCTTGGGACCTCCTCCTGTTTGCACAGCTGGATGGGACTGGGCTCCTCCCGACTCCCCAGGGGCAGGATGCTGCTTTCCCACTGCGTCCAGATGTCAGACCACTGCCCGGGAGGACCCAGCAGCTGGGCCCTCCCTCGCGGTACGTTCCCTGCGTTCTAGAGGCGCCGGCACTCTCGCCCTGTCCCGTGTATGGCCAGTCCGTTCAGGGTCGCCCATTGCCCGCGCTCCCCCACCCTGCCTTCCCAGGGCCTGTCCACCTCCGGCCTTGAGTCACTTCCCCCGCCATGCCCCACCCCGCCTAACCCGCCTCCCTTCCCAGGCTCCCGCGGCTCAGCTTCCCTGGCCCTGCGCCCTCACCCCTCTCCCGGTGGACACGCGGGCGCATCCTTCCCCACCCCCATCCCCGAACAGAGAAGGTGCCCATGCTTTTGCACACCCAGGGGAAAGTCCCCGGGTCACGCGGTTGTGTGTGTGGGGAGCCTGTGACGCTGAGGCTCTTCTCCACGCTTCCGCCTACAGAGTCACGACTGGGAACCGTGGCGGAGGCGCCCGGAGCGCAAAACGACCCCCTCCTAGCCACCAGGGCGGGCGCGCACGTAAGCACGCACGCACGCACGCACACTCCGGCCCCCGCGCCCTTCGTTCCCCGGCTACCAGGCGCGCGGTCACGTGGGCCCATCGCGGGGCGGCCGGCGCGGGAAGCCGCGCGAGAGCGGACCACGGGGTGCGTGAGCCGGCGCCGCCGCGTGACGTTCGCGGCGCGGGAGCCGCCCCTCCCGCACGGAGGAGCCGGCCGGCCGCCGCGGCGGCGTCTGGGTAAGCGACGCGGCCCGGCCCCTGTGGGCTGCTCCAGGCTCAGTCCCTCCCGCCACGAGCCGCCTGGGGCGGCGGCGGCCTGCAGCTGCGCCGGTCGCGGGACAGATGCAAGTAGCTCGGGAGGGGGGTGTTTTTGGTCCATTAGACTTGTCAATCAGGGCAAGGAGAAAAATGGCAACTGCGAGTGAACGCTGGGTCGAGGATGCCCAGAGCCGCCCTTCGCAGTTCGCACAAGGCGGTTGTTTGGGCTTGACGCAGGCCGGTCCGCTCACCGGGGCGCTGCAAAGGAATGGAGCCCTCCCTGCAGCGGGCCGGGTTGCGATCCCGCGCGGCTAGCCCCGACTGGAGTGCGGCGTTCCCCGGGCAGCCGCCCCGACTCCTCGCATGTGGGCGGGTCTCCAGGTGCAGCCTGCGAGACGCCGTGACCACTGTCCTCCCTCTCCCTTCCTCCCCACCCCCCGTTTTTTATTACTTTTTGTTTCTAGAGCAGGAAATACCCCGCCCGTCCTATAATTCATTTATTTCTTTTTTCAGATTATATTAATTTCATTCTAAGCATATCCAGTGTTTCTTTTTAAAGCGCCATCTATCACTGTCTTTCTAGCACTCATTTAGAGAAATCAAGCTGTTCCTCGAGCTGCTTAGGCAGCGCCTAGGTCTGTACCTGGAACTTGGCAGCCCCTATCATGTTTCTTAAATTAACGCCCGGTTCACCCCAAGGGATTAAATTTGGCATTCACTGTCTTGAGAATAAAGTCTTTTGGGCAAAGCTGTTCATTTTCACAAGATTTTGTCAAGTGTGTAAAGTATACTTTGTAATCACAGATTCTTAAAGCTGAAAGGGGCCTTAGAAAATCCGGTTCATCCCTCTTATTTTACAGATGAGGACACCCGGCCTAAAGATCATGTAGCTTGATCGAGGTCCTGCACCTCTTGAGTACCGACTCCAGGGCTTCAAGCGCCTTGGTCGTTTTTACTCTCTACCACACCAGCAGTGCAGTGCCAAATTAACCCACTCGTTGTAGAGACTGTCCCCCAGAGGTGATTATACTTGGCTTGATCAAGATTATTGAGAAATCAGGCGTGGCGGGTGTGTGATGGCTCTGGTATTTTAAGAAATGGGGTTGGCACTATTTCTAGGTGAACTAGACTGCCTCTGATGTATTTTGGGGCTCAAAGCCTGCCCCTCCTCCCCCTCCAATTCAGCCTGTTCTCTGCAAGAATAACCAGTATTTGCAGCATTGGTTGCTTCCTTAGATTAAGTCATCAAAGTTCACGTTAGCAATCTGAATATGTTTTAATTAAGAGTAAACTATTAATCCATTATCAGACAGACATCAGCTCTTTAATAGGGAACAGAGCAATGATGGGATAGGCCATGGAATAGATTAGTACTGCTGGGTGGGAGGTTATCAGGAAGCAGTGGAACATCACTGGGGTGGTCAGCAAGAAAGGAGGGAGGGACCTCACATGACTTGCTACACCTTTTTGTCCAGCCTGCCCTGAATGTCTTATTTGGAGGTAGTGGAGATAGATGGATTCTGCTCAGGTTTGGTCACTGTTTATTACGTACCTGTAGTGGCTAGTCATTTTCATAGAGTGTTGAACATTTACCAAAAAGCGTGTAGTATTGTCTCCATTATTACAAACAAGGAAACAGGCTCAGAGATTTAGCTGGCTTCAATGATGCAGTCATTTGCAGTAGAATTCAGCCTAGATCACTTATCTCTCAAGTCCAGTCCGTGCTCTTTTGCACTAGATCTCATCACCACTTCAAGCCAGGAAGGGGATGAGGGAATCGCCTGTGGCTGATTTATTGGCGCCTGTGGTTGCCCAGAGAAGCTGAGCAGGACTTTCAGCTGCCCTCTATGCCTTAGAAAGTGGAGCTGTGTGCTTCCACCCTATCTCCTGAGGGGAATGCGAAGGAGTCAGGCTGTCTAGCTGAGGAGGAGGGGCCCAAGTGCCTTGGCCATAAAATATCCTGGTGAGGGCTGTGCTGGGAAGTGTTGCATAATGCCCTCCTCACCACTGAACCAAAGTGATTTATTTACTATGGTCCGAAGATGGTGCTTGACCATCTTGTTAAAGAAAAACTTGTCCATTTTAGTAATAATAGGGCCAAAAAAGAGTTGGGGGCTTTATATTATTGCAGGATTTTTTTCCTGTCTTAGAAGTGCCGGTGCTCTTATCTTGATAAATTTTAAGGTACGTCTATACCACTTCCTGTGCCCCCTTTCTGCTTATTTATTACAAGTTGCATGTGAACTTGAGTCTTTTCAGAGAAGAATGCTAAGAAAAATACTGTTCCAGTTTATAGTTATGAGCATAGGATATGGAGTCAGGCCTAGCTGTTGACCACCACTTTATATCATTTGCTAATTGTGTGTCCTAAGCTAGGTTTTTCCTCATCTGTAAAAATGGAAAAACAAAGGTAGTCACCGTGAGGATGAAAAGAAATAATGTACATAAAGCACTTAGCACAAGGCCTTGCATGTAGTATTTAGTCATTATGATAGTAGCTATCAATAATAACTAGAACAGTATTATTCCCCTCTAGGATAGGAAAGATTGCTACTTGAACTTGCTTGGGGAAAGTGGAGAAAGAAAAAACAGTGTTTGAAGTAAACATCGGTTTCAGGATTATTAATTGAATTTAACGCTTCTGCTTTCCCTTTGCTAGCAGGGTTTTCTCTTTTAATCTTATCTGGAGAAAAAGTGTTTATGGTGTTGTTAGTTATTTTTGAAAATTTTCTAATTTCTTCTCTGGTTATAAATCAATAGACAATGACTTTTTGTTTCTTCTGAAAAACTCTAGACACTAAGCAAAGGGTTTCATTAGCCCGTGTAGATAATGTGCTGTGGAACGTTCCGTGGCAAAGGAAATAATAGATCACCTATATTCAGAAGCTATAATCATTCTTGTTTGTACCATATTCTAGGTCTGTAACTAGCATTGTCGTTTTCCGTCTTCTCCTTTTAGTACCTGTTCTTTCAGAAATGCAGTCTTTATTTTTTTAGTGGACTAAGAAGAATTTTTTCCTTTCCTTCATAGGGTTCTGATTTTTTTAAGGTCCACCAGCAATTTGTACTCACCAGTGTTAGCATTCTTGTTTGCCTAGTACTGTGGCTTTTATCAGGCATCCCACATGTTGGTTAGATGGGGGTTAGTGATGTAGTAGGCTGGCTGTGTCTGCCAACAGGCAGGAGGCCCCAAACTAACGTTTCCCTGTTCCGTTAAAGGTTTCTAGAGCATAACTGCTCTTCCTGTATCATCTACCACGTCTGCTTCTTACCCTCTTCTCTAATATTCTTAGTGATTTTCATAAGAAGATGCCTAGAATTACTGCCAATTTTACATCAACCAATATTTTCAGATTTGGAATTTCCATATCATTTTCAAATATTATGAAAATAGGTGTAATGGTGTATGAGATGAGAGTAAAGATCTCTTTTTTCTAAATACTTTTAAAAAAGAAGTCTGAAAATGGTGTGTTCCTCCTCTGCCCTCAATGCAAATCCTACTAGTTTAGGAGCACTTTTGTTTGTTAATCTAGCTAATTTTTGAGTTCAAAGTTACAATTAGAATTATAATTGTTGATTTTTGTTCTTTTAATGTAACTGGTATAATTTCCACATTTTGTGCACTTCTTGTGAAATTGCTTCTTTTGCTCTGTAATTTTAGAGTGAAATAGTCTCTGGAGTTTCTTTGGTACCCTTTTCTAACACAGTGGCTTTTAACTGAGGCATCTTATTATAAGAATCACCTGAGGAGCTTTTTCAACAGTATCTGCTTCACCCCCAGCAATTCTGTTTGGGTTAGTCTGGAGTAGGACTCAGGCATCAGTACAACTCTTCATGGAAAGTTTTATAATAGTCATCACTAAGAGCCACTATTCCAAGATGAAATGATTTCTGTAAACGCTCTTTCTCTAGGTTATAAAATGGTACACCTCCACAGTCATGTGAAAGTACCATTAAAAAGTTAAAATCATTGTATAAAGTCTTTTATCATGTGGCATTTTGAATATTTCTGCTTTTACATTTGTATTTATAGCCTAAGTAAGTATCTAAAAAAAGCTGTACATATCCCACTGTTAACTTTTCTGTCTCCTTGTCTTAATAATAATTAATAACTAAAGTCATAGGTGGTAGGAACCACTTAGAAAATACCTAAGACTGTTTTCCACAGAAACAGATGTCTTATACCTTTTGTTTCTTTTTTGATTTAAGAGTCTTACAGGGAAAAAAAATATTACAGCCTGAGAGAATGAAAAGCTGTGTATTCTAGGACATTGTTCTGGCTACCATGGGTCTGAGAGTCCAATCTAACTAATACAATAGATTTTTTTTACTATATAAAAATCAAAGATGTTGAATATCAAGCTAACTTTGAATTAAACAAACATAAATACTGGTATAAAACTGTTCTAGCTCACTTAGTTTGAGCTAATCCAGAGTTAAC